GTTTCTGGTCGAAACCATCAGGCAAATGTCAGAAATCCGATGACCGGATCCGTTCATCGGAATACTGGTTCTATAAAATCTAAGGAATTGTCTGGAACCGATCGTTTTCGGACCGGATTGTTCGACCTGGCTTAATAGTTATACTATAAAACTCTTGTATTTTATTCAGACTATCCAAAAGAGAATTGATATTATCTATGAAAAAGTAACTAATTTAAAATAGGTAAAAATAATTCATTTTTTTTAAATTTTAGATTGAACGGCTCCAATTACGACAAGCCGAAGTACTAGCCGAGATCAAAAAGAAAGACGAGGAACTCGAAAAATTAATACATTTTGAATCAACATTGGATGCTAATATAAAAGTGTTACTGAAAGAGTTAGGTAATGAATTAGAAGAAATATATTTAAAATATTCATATTTTTGAATTTTGGATATAAATAAAAAGAAAATCGAACAAAACAAAGAAAACAATACAACTGTAATAGATCATTGATATAAAAGCCTTTATTGCAAAACATACAATATCTCTCAGTCACGTTTTTTGTATCTTTAATTTTTATTTTACATGATTTATTTTTAATACGATTTTTTCTAAACTATCTACCTTTTTTTACAATACAAGACGTCGTTCGTTTTTCAGTTTATTGAATAGATCATGACAAAACTCAATTTATAAAAAAAGGAAAGTAAGCATAGAAATCTTTTGAATGTGCCAGCGATATCATCATAACTAATTGTTTGATCTTCGAACAATTACGTCTTGTTTCTTCTGTTATGAAATCTTTTGTTACAATTCTTAACTCATTGTAAACGACCGTTAATTTGGATAAATATGGTGTATATGATTTTCTTTCATTTAAAAATTGCTCAAGATAATCTTTATGTGCACATAGTAAGTCAAGAGACATAAGATGATGACATTCAGCGATTTGCCATGATTGATTATTATTAGATGAACACATCAGAATTACGTGATGATTGTGATTTAAAATTTAGAATACGAAAGTTCTTCAGTAATGGAAAAGCTCGAGCAATACGAATGAAGAATCCATGATAAAATGGAACCACATCTTACACTAACAAATATGTAACATAATTGAATATAACATTTGGAAATATGTTACCAATATCTTCGAGACGATCGAATAAAAATGGAACTGTGAAAATATGACATATCATTTTTTTATGATTAATATGATTAATACCATTGACGACACTAGCTACATGTTGCTGTTTGATATTTGTAAATATTCGTTGAATATCTTCACAAGATATATAATATGCTAAATCAGTTTTATTTTTATAAGTACAAATATAAAAATTGAATGAATGAAGTTGTGGCATGTTAGCAACTATTTCATTTTCAATATGACTTCCATCAATGAAGTTACTTCGATTTCTTATAGGAAGATATAACGTTAATTTTTCAAGATATGATATACGACGAAGAAGTGGCAGAATTTTGTTATCATATGAATCAGTTGAAACAAAAAGTTTGTAATGATAAACATTTCAAATGAGGTAAATTATCCTACAAAATAAAAACAAATATATGTATCAGTTAAACTGAAAAACTGAATGATTGATACAACTAATTATAATTGCTAAACTGTTTATTTTCTATTCTTTTTTATTTTTGAAATATACAATCAGTTCATTATTGTTTGTAGCATAACATTGAAAATATTCTGTTTTAAAAGTTTAGAACATAAGTCTCATTACAACTTTTCAAAATAATCACTATTTTTTGAAAACTATTTCAGACAATAATTTGAAAATGTTCAGCAGGTTTCAATTCTATTTTATCATTAGTCCGACATTTTGTCTAATCATTTTCAGTTTATAAATAATATTTTTAGAGATGAAAACAACGTTGACATAAAGTTTTATTAAATAATAAGCTGAGAAATTGGTATGAGAACTATTTTCAGAAACAACACTTTCGAAACTTGTGAGATTTCGTGTTCATCAAAGTGTTCTTCATTTTTCAACAGGTTAGAAATAATATTACCATAAATTCATCAAATTTGTCTTTCCTTATCCGATAGTCTATGCAAAAGACGCAAAATGTTCTGTTTGATCGACATTTGTCGATGAATTATCAATTCGAAACGAATACTATATTAATAAATTAAAAAAGTTCTGAAATAACGAAGAAATATTGATTATTGATGAATTAGTCGTCGCCATCGTTTGAATGGTTCTTGAAATGTTTTTCTATATAATTCCGAAGGAAGGACAAACACAATGAAGATAAGCATCGATGGAGTAAATGAAATGAAATAACCAAAAATAAATAATAATCGATGGTTAGATGGATTGACACATTCAGATAATATTGACATAATCAGACGAGGTAAAGACAGAATCAGGAGAATAACTGGGCTAATCAATAATTGTTTGTGTTCATTAAATTGATTATAAACATGTTCTCTTAGAGTTTGTCTTGTTTGAGCTGTTGATCGTTGTTGGGCTGATCCAAATATGATGAACAAAGCAGAACAAAGATTGATAATACATGGGGCGACAAGATGAAAAAATAAGATGATTGTATTGTATTGTTGAATAGAAGGAGAATAACGAGTTAAACACCATCTAGCGATATCAACTTTGTTCGTCTCTGTATTTACCTCATATAGTTCTCGATATATAGGTTCGTGAATGATTGAACTCATGATACAGAATGGTAAGATGAGAATTATCCATCGAGCAATATGTTGACTTTTTTGTTTATTGAATTTGATTCCTTTAAAAACGAGGATCGCTCTGTCAATAGCTACACAAGCATTGAGCCAAGCATCCAAATAAAGACAAAGCTTGAGAAGAGGTTCGATCGATACACAACCACCTCGAACAACAGAAAGACGAATCGATAGATCCATTTGAGTGAGAACAACAAACCAAAACTTCACTGTAAACATGCTAATTGTAAGAAAAGAAGTAATTGATGATGCTAAGAGATAAATGCCACATCCAACTTGTCGTAAATCTTTATTTTGAAATGTTAATATAGATAAAATACTATTGATTAAACCTCCGACAAACATAATCATCGTCGAAGCAGCGTTGATTTTCATTAATATTGTTTGATCAGTCAATGTCATGTTCGGTCGAATTTCGTCACGTAAAATATCATCGAGAGTGACACCAATACTTTTTTTGTAAAACTGACATTCTTGACCAATGAAACAGCTGGTTAGACTTTGAGCTGAAGAAAGAAATACATGGTCAACAAGAGATGAGATCAACCTTTCTCAGCTTAAAAAAAGCCATGTAGGCGCAAATCTGTAAGCAACTATAATTTATGAAAGCCATTTGACTTTAAATGACATGTCGTGTCAAGATGAAATTTATATATTCTTATTTCCTTTTGAATGTTTCATGATGCATTCACTCTCAATGGGATGTTGGATTTCTCTATTAAGGATTTACAAAATACTTACTGTAAGGATCAAGAGTGATATTATTTGGACCAGACATCGCAATGAAAAAGTTTCCTGTTACATTTGGAGAAGCTGTTGTCACCACTAATATGTATGTAGTGCCACTGTGAAGTTTAGCAACAAGAGTAAAATCGTTCCAAATACATTTCCAAAAATCTTGTGAGAGTAGATTCTCAAAAGGGTTCATTGGATTAAAATCATCTTTATAAATATCACCAAATGTATCCATACTGCTAAGACTACTTAGAGCATAATATCCAGTTTCTACTACATTCACTCGTATAGTTTGATAGTAATATTTTGATTTTCCACAATCTCGAGAATATGTTTGACTACTCATATTCAGCTCTGATGAATAGTTCGATTGTACAGCTGATGAATATGGTATTTGGATGACTGATCGAGTACCTACGTGATCAAAACAAAAATAACAATCAAGATTCGTGATAGATCCTGATTGACTGAGAGAAAGACGAATCGTCTGGATGTAACAAAGGAAATTGAGTATCATGAGTCGTATCTCATATAACCTGAATATCGAAAGGCGTGTTGAAGTTAAATCTAGCTTTCTGAAGAGAGAATTGTCTATAATGTCACTCTCAATAAATAATCAAGTTGTAAATGAATTTTGAGTAACTTCTTTATTTCGGAAATGGATAATATCCCAATGTTTTAGATAGAAAAAATGGGTTATTTATATTCTAGTTTTTCTACTATTTGTAATTTATTCAAAGATTAAAGTACATATAGATATCTTTTAGATTCATACAAAGTAAGAATATGTTTATATCTTTTATCTACCAAAACATTGTATTTAAATGTTTGCAGTTTTTTTAATTATAGGAACATAGAGTGATAAGACAAATTGTGACAAAAAAAAGTTTTTTCTTATTTCATAGTCACGAGCAGGGATTCATGCCAATTTGTATATTATTCACATTAGAGTAGCGATCGACTGAAACTGGTCTGTATTCAAGGAGATTGATCTAATCCTATTCGCAATATTCTATTATTTGATGAATTTAATGTAGCTGTTTATGCAAAGCTTTCTTCTTATGATATAAATGTCATCTTACAAAATAAGTTTTTATTTGTAGATAGACCAAGCTCAACTGAATACTCATACTAACGCTGACAGATATTTGTTTAATAGTTGTAGTGCAAACACTTACTAATATTTTTGAGATCAACATTATTTGGACCGGATATAAAGATTGAGAAATCACCTGTTACGTTTGGGGAAAATGTTGTCACAACCAATATATATGTAACACTAGTCCCAAGAGTAAGTCTCAAACTAAGCTGACGTCGATCACAGCCGGCGAAACTCTTATCGAGTCGATTTTCCAGTGGATTGGATGGATTAAAATGATCTTTGTAAATAGAGCCGTATGTGGTCATATTGCTTTTGCTCAAGAAAGTGTAAAGACCACTTCTATGAACATTCACTTGTATCGCTTCATAGTAAGAACTTCTACTTGAACAACTAGGTGAATACATTGAACTGTTCGTTGTCAATTTTGATGCATAAGTTGTTTGAACAACTGACGAAGTATTCACTAACGAAAAAGAAAATCGATTCAATTTTGTATAATATGGAAATAAGTGTAAACAATTTCAAATATAACTTTCTCTCTCTCAGATACATTTACCGAAAGCGACTGGAAGTCAGTGATTGGATACTGAGTACAGTACTTAGTACTTTTTGTACTAAGTCCTTAAAAATTCAGAATACTTAGTACATTTTTGTAGTACAAGTACAAATACTTAAGTATATTGTACTTAAGTACATGTGTACTTAGTACATGTACTAGAGTACATTTGTACTAGTACTGTACTAAGTACAATGTACTTAAAGAGATCTTTTCCGTTTCAAATTAATGTTTTTAGTTTTCCCATTTGTGTTTTATCAGGTTAAAAATATACTTCTGTATGCTTTTTACCTATTCGACATCGTTTAAATATTCAAATATTGCTTACAATATTTAAAACGTTTGTTATACATGAAAATAAATATCAAAATCTCATGAATTTATTTTAGTGTAACATTTGTTTCTAAACTGATATTACTTTATTGTCAGGATATTTTTTCCTCAAAAGCCTTTCATTAAATTCGCTTTTATACAAGGTTGTGATAGCCTGCGATGACAAATAAAGTAAGATGTTTTAATAAAAAACTAAAATATTTATTAATTAAAAAATGAAGTTTATCTTGAGGGTGTGGGTGTGGATATATTATATTTATCTCACACTTGCACACACTACACTCACATCTTCAAGCGGCTCTGTTATGCCACTTCTCGATAAAAGTCTAATTTGTCTAACTCATTGTTATCAATCGTAAAATAGAAATCTCATTAATTTTATGCTGATAAATATGAAAATGGGATGATGTTACTGTTATGCCTCTTTTATTTTCGCTACTACAGATGTCATTATGTTACAGATTACGAAATATTGATGTATGAATACTAATCAAACCTAAACATAAGATTATACTTAAGTACATTGTACTAAGTACAGTACTAGTACAAATGTACTCTAGTACATGTACTAAGTACACATGAACTTAAGTATATTGTACTTAAGTACAAGTACGTAGTACATTTGTTAAGTAAAAAGTAATTGTACTTGTACTTAATGTACTTGTACTTGTCCAATCACTGCTGGAAGTTATATAAATCTAAGTCTCTATCGAACAGAAATATCTGTATGTCATTTTGTAGATTGAGTTTGCCTATATTTTCTACCGATGATGAGCAAGTGCAGCTGATTATCTATTAAAATACTATATATACTCACAAATTCGATTGAAACCGATATAACTTCTACCAGATCCCTGAACTGAAAAGTTTTCCATTAACTTGTGAGAAGATGTTGTTACAACGAGAATATATATCATGTTGGCTTGAAGAACAGCTGTGAGTTGAAACTGGTCTGTATTATCATTGTTTTCATCATAGGTGAGTCTATTTTCTGACCAATTGAATACGTTAAAACTATTTGTATATATGTAACCAGACGTGACTTTCATGTCGCTGTTGATTAGCAAAACATAATAGCCATTTATAGTGACGTTCATTTGAATCGCTTCATAATACGAATCGAACTCTGAACAATCCTGAAAATAAATTGAACTATTCGATGTCATTGATGATAAGTACATCGTTGTTAGTAATGGGTAACCTATTGAATGGAAAAAATCAATGAGTATTTATTTTTATAATAAAGAAAAGAAATGATTGCGCATATTCTTAGTTTGCTTTTCACTCTGTTCACTAATGAGAGTTAAATCGTTTGTTTTAGAGCAATACTTCTAATAGAGAAATGAAGAAAAACATAAAATAAAATATTTATTTAGCGTTCTTTCAATAAGCATCGATATTAACCCTTAAAATCCTCATGTTCTTTCCAAGAAACGTTGTAATAATTACAATAAAGGAATTTTATAAAACCTCGTATAGAAAAACGAGTACTATTTTAGATTAAGAAATTATGGTAAGTCATAGACTTTCAAATTTATGATTTTTTCATTATCATCTTTATCTTCAAACTTTTCTTCTTTTATAAATACAATGCAAAATATTAGTTTTTTGTCGATATCACTAAGCATATAACAATAAACTATCTGATGAAACTATTTCATAAAGTTCTAGTCAATCTACGAGTATGGCATGACATCATCAAGAAAATGTTGACTGGAAGTTATATTCGATCTATTGATAAAATATCACAAGAGCGACTCTTTCATTATTTTTTATTCTAATGAAGCGTGTCTTGAATAATCAGGTAAGGATAGAACTTTTTCCTTTTTCTTACTGTTGGCATTTTTCTATGAAGACACTGACATATGCTTAAAAATATGAATATTCGACAAGCGAAATTTTTCTTCACATCGACATTTACTTCGAAGTGTTTTAATTTCGATAAAAGTCTCACTTCTCGTGAGTGTCTTACGTTTCATAAAATTATTGTGTTCATTATTTATAAAGAAAGTTCAAAAAAAAGGCTGAATTCATCTCTGACTTCTCTATTAAGAACATAGACATTCTAACTTCCATCTATATCATGCAACTAACATGACGACAATGTTATCGATTGACTTTTGTAGGGAATTATGAATAAACAAGATTTTTATTTTATAATAATAGTATATTAGAATAAAAGTTATAATTTGAATTTAACTATTCACTAATTCAATTCAAAACCCATCAGGAGTTTCGTCTTCATCTTCTATGGTAGTTTTCCTTTTTAGTTCTCTGAATAAATATTAATTGAAATACTATTAGAAACTTTATTTGATCATTCTAAACTTACCACATGAATCTTCGATATATTGAAACTTTTGAATTCGATGATTTAATTGATCAGTAACAAATATGTTTCCAAAATGATCGAAACTAAAACTGAATGGAAAATTCAATTGATTGGATTTTTTACCACTTCCATAACATCCAACCAAACATCGAAAACCATTCAAGCCTGAACCAACAATGCGATCATTGTTCCTGTCCACAATGAATAAGTACTTCTCAGCATCTAATATAATTCCACTGGGACAATCAAGTGTAATTGTTGGATTTAGTGATCCACTTCCAGCCACTGTAATGCCATTTGATTCTTCTGGCTGGAACAACTGAACCCGATCATTGTAACAATCTGCTACATATAGATCCAAATTTACATCGAC